ACCGCTCTAATATGTTAGACCCTAAACAAAAACCAGGGAGGTGTGGCCTAAATTTGACAAACTCTGATTTGGTACAGACCACAAAAAGTGAGCAGCTTATCCCTTTGCCTAAATTAAGAGTGCTTGTTGATTGAATACTCTTGTGTTGTGACAGAGTAATGATTGACTACTTTAAACTATGAAATGTCACAGGCATACATAGATAATTTTGTTCCTGGTTTCTTCTTGAGAATAATGAGCCCCTCAGTATTGCCCGATTCAGTTGTTGTCTCCATTTTGAAGAACAATGAGTATTTTTTTGTTTTATTTTGGTTTTTCCCCCATCTAAAAATTAAAAACATACTCCTGAACTCATAATCCCCAATAATGTAATATCAGCTGAGCTTCTAAGTGCCACAATTGTTTTGTTCTGTCATTTACAAAGTCACCCTGGAAAAATCTATTTTCTTGCCTTGCAAATACTGGATAGTCATCTTAGTTTACTGTGAGATATAAGCAAAAGTAAGGGGAAGATCTTGGTAAAAAGAAATAATAAACACTGTGATTTTTCAGTAAAAAAAAAATAGATGATCAGGAGAAACAAGAAAATTGTAGACAGAATTAGAATTTGCCTTGGGGTTCTAATGGAATGGAGACCTAGAGAACTAAAGGTTGGAAAGAACCAAAGGTAACAAAATCTAGTTTCTTTGAATCTAACGTAGATAAGTCAGACCTCTAGTCTGGATCTGAGAGTGAAAACATAATAGATTTAGTAAAGAGAGGTTGATTTCTCAGAGAATTTGACCAGGAATGGTTGAGCTCAGGTGTTCTGAAAGAACCTTGAAGAACTAAGAACCAAGCTGTGGAATGCTGACCTCAAACTAGGTTTTACACTTGCCTCTCTACCTTAAAAAAAAAAAACAAAAAAAAAAAACCTCATTCTATAAATGATCTCAGCTATAAGATACTATTTGCACTTTTATAGACTGATCTGTGTATAGGCCTATCAGTGACTCACTGATGAAGAGGGGTATACAGGAAGTAATGAGCAAAAATATGCTAATGATATCAAGGCTTAGAAAGGAAAACCTTTTACTCACTTCAAATTTTCAAGTGGTACCACCAGGAGTGACCTGTAGTGAACTCAGGATTCCCTGACAATCACAGAGAGTAACAAAAGATGTTAGCCTAACAATATACTAAAAACTAGAGATATATCTAGTTAGCTACCTGATATTTAAATTGTTCAGATTAGTTCTCCCAAGCCAGAGAGGAAGTTCTTTTCTGGGTTACTTCCATGTCTATACTATTTCCTGTCATTAAACAAATAGAATATATGTAAATAAAAATCATTCCCTAGGGATTTCATGAGCCTCAAATTCCATTATTTCTGTTATGATTTCCTATGTTAAGATTTTTCAATTTCTCAATGAACACTGCCTCATAAGTTTGTTGAGTGCTTACTAATCAAAATACTGCTGGAAGAAAAATAAAGATTAAAATCAACAGTTATACACCTTTTAGTACTGCTTGCATTCAAGATCACAGGATACTACCTTTTTAAAGTGCTATATAAGATCCAAGTACAAAGGATTTCTCCCTCGATGGAACTGTAACAGCAACGGGCTTTTAGGGATGGAAAGAAATGTATAGGTCTTTAATCTTTATCATCACCTTCAGCAACAAGCTTTTACTGTATGCCTGCTGTGTCCTAGGCTAATACCACCTAATAGAAGCTGTGAAATTTAAGACTATGTCAAAATAATGGTAATCATAGGGAGAGGCTATGTAGGAAAAAAAGAAAACCTAGAATTAAAAGAATTATAGAATCTTTGAGATGAAGAAGAACTTAGCAAACATCTAATCCAAAATCTATTTTTATAGGAAAATACTGTAGCCTAGAGAGGTAATAAATTATTCAAGGCTATAAGGTAGTTCATTAGTGGCAAAGCTCAAACTTGAACCCAGGACTCCTTTAGGTCTAAGGTTCTTTCACTGTGGCTTGGATTAATTTGTAAATTAAATTTTTGCTATAAAACCAAAATTATTTTCCATTATCGACAAATCACACAACTGCCAAATGTTTACTTAGTAATAGACTATATTTAAAGAATTTGAAAAAAATTAAACTTAAAATAATTTAAAAAACTTAAAATAGGACTTTCCTATTTTTCAAATTATATGATTACTTATAATTATTGAATCACTCAAGAATTGACTGATCCTTGTATATATGCACAATTACCAAATATTTCATATTACAATCTTACAGAGAAGTAAGCTGTATGTAATTTTAACTCTTTGGCAAGGTTACTATATTCAGCCTATTTCTTCCATGTCAATAACTAGACTGAAATGTGCTAGCTTTTAGAGTGTGGGAGGCACAGTAGTGATGGTATTCCACACCATGATTCCCACAAGATCCAAAGTCCAGAAGCCACATGCTCAATTTCCAGCTTTATTAGTGATTTATTGTAGACTTCAGGTACCCCTAACACTAATATTTTCAGTTCTGATCATAAAAAAATAAAAATCTCTATATAGATAAAATTTTCCAAGAATAAAAATAATATTTTTGTGATGTTTTATATAGACATAGAATCATTCAAATGACCTGTGAATATCCAGATTATTTTAATAATTAGGAGGATAAAACTCATAACTATGGCCATGCTACCCTGAACATGCCCAATCTCGTCTGATCTCAGAAACTAAGCAGGATCAGGCCTGGTTAGTATTTAGATGGGAGACCACCTAGGAATACCAGGTGCTGTAGGTGTTAAAAAAAAAACCTCCCCATAAGTTCGTCTAAACTTTTGAAAACTGTGATGTTAGAAGAGTATTTTTCTACTTTGTACAATCTCAGGTTCGCATTTCAAGTATCTGATAAAATTTTATGGAATTCTTGAGATCGCTGTGATTTATATTTCTGAAGTAAAATATGTAGCTTCACTATATTTTACATATAACAGAATAAGACCTAAGATAAAAATAAAATGTCTGTATATGTTTCAAAATTAAACGTGAAGAATTGAGCTTGTGCTAAAATTTCTTCAGGTGCTCAGTTTGAGTTTATTTGCATGTTTATGAGAACTCAAAATATATATCTAAACACAGAAAAGTTCTTAGTATACCTATTTTTATGGCATAGTCATATTTTTACATCTCTCTCAAAGGTTACTATAACTTGCTTTTGCAACATAAAGTAGAAGTCAAATTTCCCGATTTTATGTATATACAATGAAATAAATGAGACATAGTCATAACAATTCTGGGTGTCCTCCTGGTCATCAGACAACATTTTGTCAACTCACGGTTGAGTCCCTGTCTTTATTCACTTGCTTAAAAGGCAGTTTTGAGATGGATGAGGTAGCAGCAAGGTAGCCCTGGTCTTAATGGCAAAGCATAAAGTTAAAGGTCTCACACAATATTATTCTGTACTCTTAAGGCAACAATTTGAACTTTCAGCAATACTGTGCATAGCAACAAGAAAAATGTGTTTATAAGACAGAGAAAAATTAAATTTATAAGTATTTTTCATCTTCTCTTTATTTTATTATTCCCATTTTAAATGCACTTCATTAGCAAAAATACAATATAAATATTTTAGTAAAGAAAAACTTTGTTAAAATTATTACAAAAGGTTTTGTCATAGCTGTATGAATAACAGAAGTTGAGGAGTTCTTCTTGATTAATAACTTTGAGTCTATTTCATCTCTAAGAACAAAAGAATAATTGATAATATTCCTTCATCTTAAATCCTCCTACACAAGACAGTGTAAGAGAAGAGCTTCCTCTGCCTCCTACTTGCATTCTTCTCTATATCCAAGCTCAGATCAGAGGAAAAGAACAATGAAATAAGTGGGACACATTCTGGGATGTGAAGAACGCATTTCTTTACGTATGTTTGTAAGACAGTTCAATGTACAATCTGGTAAAAAAAAAAAAAAGAATGTTTTAGTCTTCTATTTTCACTTAACCACATACCACATTTTTCTAAAGAAAAATAAAATACACAAGATAATACATACATCCCCCACCTTAGAACTCCTCAAGAAAGAAACCAAGTCATAACAGGTAGCACATTTATTAGTTCCATTTTCCAGATAGAACTTTAAATTCTTGTTGTTTCAATTGGGAGTAGAAATGTCAGATTATTTTGTTCATCCAGGTAAATCATCTTTGGATCTGCTTAAGTTAAAGGAAATAACTAATTTTATCTTTTTTACTAACTCTGGGATCTGAAGTTCCCTTAAACCTTTAATTATATCTATGGGCAAGGAGAGGGAAACATCCTGCAAACAATCATTTTTCTCTCAATAAACCAAAAGTCAAGGCTATCATCACAGTAAATGCTGGATGCAAATTCCATTGCATCATTTAACTCATTGCTCTCTGACCTTATAACCATTCCAAAGGAAAAAAGGAGGTCTGGTTTCTTATAAGTATTTTTTAAAGAGAACACAGAGGTCAGGTAAATTTGCTTATTCCGGAAATTATAAGAAATCAGAGATTAAATGTCAGCTTCAACATCTATATAATTAAAGAGAGAGCTGGGCTCAATGATCTATAAACCCTTTACTGTTCTCATACTGTGGATTTGTGAAGTATTAGAAGCAAAGTCCCTTTGTTCCCCTGCTTGTATCACTAGTAGTTGTCAATTCTAGTTTTGAAGCAATCATTAAGGTAAGGGATGAATTGGCATCGGCCATATGGCCAATTCTATAGTGATATACAGTGGTTCAAATGAAAAGTATATACTATCCCACTGTTCAAGTAAGAAATTCAGAATCACTAGTAGACGGTAATCAAGTCCCAACTCTCTGATACTATAATGAAGCAGGCTCAGAAGCTAAGGATGGATAAAGAGCAACAGAGTTAAGTTATCGTCCAGGCTGACCTCTCACCCCTCACATTGGCCATGTCCCATTATATATGAGTAATTACTCTAGGGAAATCAAGGGGAGCCAGAATTCAACTCATACAGGGCCTAAGGTTCTATTATTCTTCCTCTCCTCCATTTTAAAGTACATTCATTCAGAAAGTAAAGTAGCATTCAGAAAGTAACCTAGTTTATACTTGCCCACATACAGAACTAGAACATCCAATAAAACTAAGTGCCCAAAGGGTAAATTTCAGGGACGTCTTACCATATCTCAAACTCAGTGATTCCAAGAGTAGTAGCTAGACATACAAGCTTAGATGAAATGCTCGATTGGGCAACAATTCTACTTTCTTACTTTTGAGTCTTTGAGTCATGCCATTTTCTCCATTGACAATACCCTACCTCGCCTTCATCTCTAAAAATCCCTTATCTAAAAAACAAACAAAAACAAAACAAAACAAAACCTTTCCAATTCTCCAGGGAAGCCAATCATTTAAACAGTATTAATTGCTTCATCTTCTGCCCTCCCATAGCTCTTTGCTTGACCTTTCATTGCGTTTTAATGACTAAGCTCATTAAGGATGGGGCTCTGTCTCACTAAGCACCATGCACTCTCATAGCACTCAGTATAATGCTTTGCATACTGTGGATCTTGGATGTTTGTAGAGTGTTCACCTGGGGGCCCTCCTAAGATGAAATCTTTGACATGAGGGTGTCCTTTCATTTGCTATTTGAGTTCTGACTTTTGGTGCAAGGAAGATTACATTCAATTAACTGAAAGATATTAAAATAAGTATGCAATTTTAAGTCAAGCCCTTTTCTCACATTTGATTAACATAATAAAAACTTTCCAAAGTGACAACTTTGAGATTTCTTTCTACTGGAGAGCTCTTTAGTTTGCAAATTAGCAGGTCTTGAAATAATATGGAGTTATACCCAAAGGAAAGTTGGTAGTAGTGACACACACAGGGATGAATATCAGTGCTATATGCAAATCTGATTTTGGAAGTACATCAGTAATCTCTATTAACCAGAGCCAGATGACTACTGTATGTCCTGGAGAGTCTAAGATGATTTCATACTCAAATGCAAAGATTAGAGGTCTCGAAGAGCCACTGTCTGTGTATCACTCTGTTGTACATTTCAATTTAGTGGGGCTAACCACAAATAAATACACATTTCAATCAGGGATAAGGTCTAAACATAAGCATTAATGTTAAAATTAAAGAGATTATTACTGACTAGACAGAATGTTACATAAATATGTTTGAGATTGTTAACAAGCCCTATCAAATGTTCATTTGGAAAGGAGAACAAGGCTATACAATGAAAAGAAGACAAAGATTCCACTAATAAATAAATGATAAAACAGGTATCCTAATTTATGCAGACCATTATTGAATCAAACCCACACAGGGTACTTCAACATCATGGACAATGAGAGCCTCATTTTATGCTATCCATACTGGAGATAAAATAAAAGAATGTCATTCTAGTACTTTCAGAAATAAACACCTTTTGAGAGGCTCTAAAGCAGAGGCTCCTTATAGAAAATATCCAACTATCACAGATAATGTTATGGCGAATCTTTAGGACACTTATTAAAATGCATTGGATTATAACAAAATTGATTTTCTCACTGCCTGTCTTCCTTCTAGATGTGGAACTCCAATTAAAATCAATAGGTTTGAAGCTTGTAAGCACAGCAATAAATTATTAATACCATGAGTTCTTTTAGAAAATTAACACTGATTGAAAAAGTGGAATTTTACATAGACTTACCTTTTCATTCTTAATGAGAAAGTGGCTGCAGTATAATTTCCTTCCAACATTTTCCTCTTTAATCAAGCCTATACTTTTAATGAATTTAATCAAATAGCATTTGCAAGGAGTTATCCAATGGAATCTTAGCACTAAGGAAAATTTATCTCTTGAGTGCTGCTGGCTTTAACACTCTATAATTCCAAGAAAATGATATTGATGGTACGATGATGTCAATAGCAAACAATTTTAATCTTGGCAAACACTAAGAATAAAGCAGAGAGATTATAGAATATTCTAAAAGAATGTTCTCTAATATTTTTAACAATCTACTTTTCATTTCCTGTAAGTGAAAAATATCAGTATGTATAGTTTATGTAATGGGTACAAAGCTAAAAATATAATGCTTATTGTTATTTATATGACCTAACCACTTCTTTAAAAGATTTGGAGCAGTGCATTAATAAATAAGAATATACTCAGAAACCAAGTATAATGAGATGTATGTGTAATAGTTTTACCTGAAAACCTAAGCTGACAACTACTACAAATTAGTATAAAAGTTAGCTCTGTGCTCAGTACCATGATGCACCCAATATATATGAGAAATTAGCTTACGTTAATAAATTTCTTATATTAACAAAACAGAGGCTAGATTTTAACATCCTAATTGATGATGATTATATTATTGTTATTCCCTTTACCTTGCAAAGGGAGTACCTGTTCATATGGGGGCGGAGTTCTAAATATTGTCATATTTTTATTTTACCAAAGAATTCCAGCTTAGAGAACTCTTCATTTTTTTGTTGTAAATTAATCTCTTCTCAAAGTTCACCAACTTTTCCTGAACAGGTATATATCAAACTCCATCCTATATTATACTCCACTGTCAACAGCAGCTGTGAATATCTTAATCCCTGTCTCTAAAGGTACAGATTCGTCAGTTTTTACCTCCAGTGATCTGTGCTGATATTGCTGAAATCTGTTCATGTCACCAAAGCACTTTTGACAACTTAAATGTTCAAAGAAAGAGGGAAATGCTATTAAAATTATGGGATATCTACCAATATGAATTGAATCTTCTAATTTTTAACAAATATCATTATAAGCACAAGGCTTGTTTATATGTTCTTCATAAAGCTATGGCTAGGATAATATATATATTATTAGTTGAAATATATAGCCCTTGTTCATTTAGCAATCAACGAAACTGTAATTCTGCAATATGGATAATCAACATCCAGTACCAAATGTGAATACAAGCACAAAATCTGATTTTTTTTTCCTTCAAAAAAGTCCTATGAATGTGTTTAAGAACTTTAAAAGGCAATAGAATTTTAGAACTGGAAATGACCTTATAAAATATTTGGATTTTAAAATTTTTTTAATGAGTGATTTCTAGCAGGGGGTGGGGTAGGGAAGGCAATGACCAACACGTAACCTTAAGATGGAGAGAAATGACAAAGTTCCTTCATTAATTCTTGAATTGCATAGCCAAAATAAGCTTGATGAGCAATTCAAAGTAATTAAAATGCTTTGAACAGTGTGCTACCCAAAAAGATCTGTGATCTACAACTTGAATTGACTTGTACCCTATCATTTCACAGCCCTAACCAGAGAGAAAGTACCACTCACAAAACAAATCCTTGCTGCCCACCCCAAAAGGACCCATAAACATTTTGAAAAACACAATCTTAGAACTCCCTTTGTCCTTTCTTGCCTTGGTTAATTTCATGCCCTTCCTTTCTTTCCCTTCTTCCCATCCAGTCTCAAAACCAGCTCTGCTAGCCAGTAATTCATTTCCTGACCATCTCGGTAGCCTGGCTTGACTCATCTTTCCTAGGAATTTCTGGTCAGGCTAGTAGGGAGCTACTGAAAGCTTTCATCAGAGGAGTCTGAAAAAATAAAGTATGTATTTCAGATAGCTCCATCATATCTGTACATTGCCTTGAACTTACATAGTGACAAAGGCCAGAATAGCATGGTATAAATAGGGATGATGTCTGACATTTTCTGGAGAAAAACACTGATAGAACTTCATGATTAACTAAATATGGATATAAAGGAA